TCATTTGCACTGGTATTTAGTTATGATTAGACCACTAATTAACCTTCTTGCTGTCAAACAGAGCCCTTGATGCTCCCTTAGTTCACATTCCATCTTAGTTACCGTCATCCAGCAAACTGTGCAAACAGACTTCAGTTCCCTTTAACAGAAGGGTTTATCTTAAAGGGAATTTAATCTGTAAAGTAAGCAGCAGTAAATTAGTAAATTTTTAAGCAGTTATATAATGCATTAATATCCAAAATATCCTGTGACACACCTGGCTTTGTCTCAAGGTACACCATTTGGGGGCCACAGCTCTGCAGTAGCCTGTAGCTAAGGTTAATATAGTGATACCATGCAACCACGTTAACCTTTTCTCGTCATCGTATGAAAGCGCGTTAAAGTTATGAGATGACGCGAGTGAAAATGCACTATGCTACTGTATGAACAAATGCTGAGGAAAAACAACAGAGAAATCTCACGTCATCTCCTTCTACATGATCAATGAGCAACCAAAACTGGTGCCCATTAGGTCCCCGAAGGTTCTTATCTATATCAGATGCTATGATGTCATTGTGTTGCCTAGCAAGCTCCTACAAACAAGTTAAAATCGCCTGTTTGTTGCAAAAAAAACCTTTTAAAGACACTATCTCTACTTTTAAGATTAGGCTTAAAACTTTCCTTTTTGCTAAAGCATATAGTTAGGGCTGGACCAGGTGACCCTGAATCCTCCCTTAGTTATGCTGCAATAGACGTAGGCTGCCGGGGGATTCCCATGATGCATTGAGTTTTTCCTTTCCAGTCACCTTTCTCACTCACTATGTATTAAAGACCTCTCTGCATTGAATCATATCTGTTATTAACCTCTGTCTCTCTTCCACAGCATGTCTTTATCCTGTCTTCCTTCTCTCACCCCAACCGGTCGCAGCAGATGGCCCGCCCCTCCCTGAGCCTGGTTCTGCCGGAGGTTTCTTCCTGTTAAAAGGGAGTTTTTCCTTCCCACTGTCGCCAAAGTGCTTGCTCATAGGGGGTCATATGATTGTTGGGTTTTTCTCTGTATCTATGAAGTGCCTTGAGGCGACTTTTGTTGTGATTTGGCGCTATATAAATAAAATTGAATTGAATTGAAAGGCATCTTATCATTTTCATCTCATGACAATAACTTCTATTAATTATATACACAAAACTTTCATTATACGTAAACTAAATTATGACATCATCATGTTGCCCAGCAACCACATAACAATGTAATAAAAAGCACAGGAAAAACAATACAGCAGCATGAGCATGTACTAGTACAATGACAATGAAAAAAAGCCGAGGGTTGCCAATTAAAGTCTACTCTGAGCATTAACTTACTTATGCTGCTGACGTTTTAGATATGAAAATGTGTTCTGAACTTATCTGAACTGAAAATTTGGTGTGAGAGAAAAGGAAAGGAGGTCTCCTGCCAAGAGGCCAGGAGCAAAAACCCTGATCGTGGGAACTTTCTGCAGAAACCAACACCGACCCAACAGGTAGTTCCACTGCTCATTAACACAGCTGCTTTTCATAGTTGATGTTTTAACTGGCACACTCGTGAATTATGACCTATTAGCGTTTACATTCACTATTATTGAGAGGCTTTAGAGGACTTGTCTAGAAATACAAAGCACACACACACACACACACACACACACACACACACACACGCACACACACACACACACACACCCAAAAACACACACACACACACACACACACACACACACACACACACACACACAGTGGTGGTGTCTGTTTCCTGAGCCTGGGGGTGTTTTCCTCTGTTCAACCAAGCGTAAAAAGAAAGAGAAAAAAGTCACACCCACCAAAGAAAAAACAAGCGCATTTTTTATAGTCCCTGTAGAAAACACACATTGTATCACAGACCCTGCTCCTCTTCGCCTCCTCATAAATCTCCATCTTATCTCACAGTTTGGATTGCTTAAAATTGTAAATTGGTTTCAGGAGATATATGTGGTTGACTTTTCTTTTCTTTACTGCCTATAACAGTACAAAAGTTCAGCAGGTTTGTTAGAAGATTCACCAGAGTAGTTAACCATAGTTACCTCATAGGGTTTGCTCTTGAAACTAAGCTGTGTAATTGGCCTGTCTGTGTTTCAATTTAGACGTGTTTAAAGCTACACTTTATTTACACGTTGGTGGCACCATGTGAACAAGGTGTATGGTGCATGTTGTAGGATATTTTCTCCATATTCATTTTAGCACATGTTCAGTTTCCAACATCAGTTTGTGTTCCTTTAGTCTCTAATCTTCACTCTCTTCTTGTCTTTTCTCTAAAAAAACATTGTGATGGTTTGAAAATAGGACACTTGCACCTGTTTCTGTTCACACCGTGGCTGTGCAGAACAGTCGGTTTGTGGGTGACAATACTTTAGAACTACTCAGCCAGCATGAGCAAGTGTTTGAGGTTATTCGTAACAGCAAACCAAAGATAATAAATAGACACAATCAGGCAGATCATAGACAATAATATAGTTTGTGTAGTTTTATAAAGTTGCGATTGTGAGAATCAGTTTGAGGTTTTTTCTCATACCCCATCACAGGACTCGATTTAGACATAAAATTTTTTGGGTTCTGGGTTTCAGTTATTATGGTTGTAAGATGCTTGGGTATGTATTACTTGAACGTCCTCACATAGCCAAACAAGCATGCCTGTGTGCGCATACACACAGGGTGGAGCAGGCAGCAGTCACTGTTGGTGTAACAGTGGCAATTTACAGCCATAATGTGAGAACTGCTCATCCAAATGGCTTGAAATTCATCACTATAATCACTTGTGTGACCAGTAATGCACAGGCAGACTTTATCTAAGGGAAATACCCACAGTGCATAGTGTTGTGATGTAAAACAGAGAGTTGTAGTGTGAGCTAAAAGTATCCGGTTGTTCAGTCTGACGTCACTAGCCGTGTCTGGGTCTAAACTCCGCTGCAGGGCCATATATCAAATGATCACTATGGCATTACTGAGAGTTGAAAAACTGTCTAAAGTCTTTCATCTTTAATAAAATGATCAGCGTTCTGCTCTACCAGGTGTAACAATTGAGTTTAACATCCAGGCATCCATGAAAACGGAATTTATGACATTTAACAGTTAGAAGTTAACAGGAAGTTAGCTCACTAGCTTCTATCTAAATACAATATAGCATGTCCTGACTGCGGGGTTTTGGAAACAAATTAAAACGTACAGCTCTGTTATCACTTCCAACATAAATGAAGACAGAAAACTAAACAGCAGTGACGTTTGTAGGGTTACTGAAGTTGGGCTAGCTGGTATATAATGATGTGCTACGTGATCGCTAGCGACACAGCTATGTTAGCATAATAAACAAGCTAACTTTATTTCCACTCGATAAAAGTTAACGTGAGTGTTCTCGGTCAGGAACAAATGTAATCGCATGGCAGGATGCTGTAAAAGGACCAAACTTCAGCCAGGAGAACAACTGAGATAATCCATCCACAATACGAGGTTAGTCATTCATATACTGCTGCATGGGCTGGGCTGTAGTTACATCCTAAGGTTTTAAAAACTGAGCTTAAATAAATGATTAGCGGTAATAAAAGCCGAGCGAGGTCAACAGTGATCACTGACTGTTTTAGGAGCTTTTTGAGATTAAACAGAAGAAAATACATAACATTGAACATGTTAACAACACAAAAGCCATATTAAACGCCGACTACTTTAGGCCCGGAAGTAGGATTCGTCACGTCATCACTTAACGACCGGATTAGAAAACAGATCATAATAAGGAAAGCCAAAGGAATGCTGCACATTAGATAGAAATCACTTAGGTGAAAAAAAGGCATGAGGCATGTTGTGCAAAGCGCTTTGAGTGCTCAAGTAGAGTAAAAAAGTGTTATATGAGAAGTAAGGTAAAAGGCTGGTGGATGCTCGGATCACCCATAACCAGTGTTATACCAGGGGAGTAACAGAATACATGCACCGTCATGACGTATTTAGAATACAAAATATGAGTAACTGTATTCCGTTACAGTTACCGTTTAAAAAGGTGGTATGTAGAATACAGTTACTTTGTTGAAATAAAGGGATTACACGGCGGTCTTTTCCTGTTTCATATGTTCGACTATGCCCTCTCTATTTTTGGTAATTCCATACCGGTGGAAACCCAAACAAAACACGCATTAAGAGGCTCAAATCCCTGCAATCTCGCGTCTCATAATGACGTGAAGAAATATTTTTTAAATTATTTAATATGAAGGCAATAGGCAGAGTGTTACAGGCATTGCTCAAAAGAATGTAGCCTCATGGGCCTCACTTAAGTAATCCAAAGTATTCAGAATACATTACTCTCATTGAGTAACGTAACGGAATACGTTACAAAATACATTTTGAGGCATGTATTCTGTAATCTGTAGTGGAATACATTTGAAAAGTAACCTTCCCAACAATGCCCATAGGTTCCTTGGCATTAAAATACTCACAATACTAAGAAATATGTTTTGGTGCTGTAACACCAAACACATGTTCGAACACTTCATGAAGTCTCACATTCAGGATTCACCGCTGCGTACACAGGTAAAGTAATTTAAGTGTTTGAGGGCTGAGTGCTCAGGTTTGCTGGTCTGGGCCAAACACTTGCAGAAATAAACATGAAGACTTCGGCTGATGTTGTAAAGGGTCAAAGGTCATGGAGCTGTGGAAGTGAGGCGGATGTTCTTGCTCTCATCATGTTTGGCAGAGGAAATGTTTGCGCCTGTCCTCGAGTCACTCCAGCGAAAGGATGATCTGCCTCCCCGATGAGCGTGTGAGCAGAATTTGAATGGAGTCTGGTTTTGTGTGTTGCTAAGAGGACTCTGCAGAGCTGTGAGGAATCTGCACTGCTCAGTTTGCAACTCACTTTTTTTTGGTCCAGTAAAAGTGCAACTGTTCTGATCATTTTAACCACCAGGACAGAAAAACAAAATAGATAATCTCTTTTAGCTTCCTGAACTCTGACTGAGACTATTTTACTAGTTTATGCGCTATTAATAGCAAAGTTCTTTCTGAAAGAACACTCCTCATTTTCTAATAAGTCCAGCACCACTCCCTTACTCAGAAATTTCACCCACATATTAAAAGTCAACACATCACAGAGAGATCAGCACTTATATTTGTAAAGATTTGTCCTATTAAATGGCTATAAAGCTAAAAAACAACAACAACACTGAGTACAGATATTTAAAATGCATTTTGGAGTGCTGACCAATGTTACATGATTGCAAAAAGACATCTACACTAACGGCAAACCACCTCTGATCTGCTTGGGGATATTAAAGGAAGTACACAATCCTGTGTAGACACTTATAGGCCCGCAGACAGACCTCTAACCCGCTTTCCAAACTAAAATTTGAACCTCCTTGGACTTATGACACACGTTCAGGCACTTGGGATTTACACTCTGGCATCCTTTCCTCCTCCTGACCATTTTTCACTTTTCTGTTTTGTCCAGTTCTGGAACATTTACTCAAAAGAAATAACCCAAAGTGAACTCATATAGAAGTTCTGCTTTTACCTCAACTTATATGCATATAAATGGTGGTTGATTAACAGAGTTTGCAGACTGAAGTCCAGCAGATGTATTAGTTCAAAACCACAGAAGCAGCAGGCAGAGCTGCTGCTGTGGTTGCCAGGTTCTCACTGCTCTGGGAAATATTTACCAAAGGGATTTTGTTTGTAGAAAGTCCCTGTAACTCCACCCTGACACAGTTGTTTGCAGAGCAATGCCATGCAAACAGGAATGAAAGAGATAAATGAATTCTTAAATACTACGATTTATCTGTGGTAATTCTGAAGGATCTTCATAACCGGACTGGTAAATATTAGTTTTAAACTCGGGTCTAAAACAGGACGGTTTTATAACATGAACATTGTGCCACGAGTGACTGCATCATCACCCTAAGAACATCTCACTTTAACTGCTTCCTGTATTTAGCAGAAGGTGTGGACTCGCCATACAGCAGCAAAACATCCTGTGTCAGGCTGCTGGCAAAACACACATGTGAGAGATAAAAGTGAAGTGAAACGCAAAGACAGCAAAGACACAGAAACAAAGTCCCGGCGGCAAAACAAACGTGGGCGTGGACATAAAATAAATGGACTCATCATTTTATTTAAAACGGCTCCGTTTATAAGCTGTAAAAAAAAGAGGAGTAAAGAAATGCTCACACCCTTCAGGACCTGACGTGCTATCAATATTTCTTGTTTAGTCTCAAAGATTTGCATATTTACACTTGCTACTTTGAGCACACTATTGTTAACCTGGAATCACGGTACAACTCGCATGATAGTTCAACTCAGGAGAGCAAAATGTACCCGCCTCAGCCAGTTGCAGTCTTTTTACTGAAGCTTTCGCTGCTACTTTTTCAGAAAGTTTTTTTCTCTGGCTTTTGCTGTTTTTTTCCACCCATTTTCAGGTCAGTCCTGGGATCCTTCAGTTGATTCATCTACTGTTCACTGAAGCCTCAGCAGAAATAGTTTCAGGGTGAGGGTTAAAGCCTGAAAGAAGACATCCTTATGGGAGGGAAACAGGGAGAAAAGGTTTTTGCCAAATTACACAAGAGCTGGAATGAAATCAGGACTCATGGAGTCCAGATTAAAAGTTTTTGATTTAAATCATCAGCAGTATTTCCTTGCACGGAGGAGGTCAGGAGGAGAGGTACAACAGTGAGTCTCTACAGCCATTTGTAAAACATGGTGGTGGCTCTATTGTGGTTTGGGCTGCATTTCAGCCAGTGGTGTTGGGATTCATGTCAAAAGCGATTGAATTGTAAATGCGGGAAATTATCACCGTATTCTAATCCACCGTGCAATATCGTCTGGAAAGCATCCGATTGACTACAGCTTCATTTTTCAGCACGATCCCAAAAACTGTCTTTGGGTGTCTAATATGACAAGATAATAAAGCAAGTCCTTTTTGTATCTGAAATGTCAAAGGTCATATCAGGACAGATGTGGATCTAAACAACAATGTAAACAGTTGCAGAGGTGGAAATTCTTATTTTTTGCTTTACTCTCATGAATAAATGTTTAAGGTAAATTAAGGGGGAACTGTTTAAAAGCATGTTAAATGCAAAGCATAAATGGAGAAACTAAACAATTTTTTGACTCCTCTTGCATCTCAGTCAAATTCCCACCTCTGAGAACGTTTTCTCAGCTAACAGGATTTCTACTTTTTATTATTTGCTTTGCTTTGCCTCCATCCTCGCCACCTCCTCTGCCTTCTTTACACCTCACGGTTGGATGTCGTGATTGCAGCCGGCTAATCCCTGATTAGCCTCACAGTGGGTTGTAGGTTCACTCTAGAATAATGGATGAGCAATTTTTTACAAAGCGCTTAGTTACAGCAGCCAGTGCTGTAAATGAGATAACAGCAGGATTTTCATGATGATGTCCCGGCACCCTATGTCAAAGTCATGACCTTTGACATAGGAGCAGCTTCTGAATAGCTTCTACTTTACCCTGAAAAAAAAAATCCAGAGATTTGTGACATGACTCTGAGAGTGTTTATAGATTCATACACACATGGTTGTAATAAAATGCAGAAGCCTGCTCGGCTGCAAAGGCAAAAACCACGTGGATCGCAGTATCGTGCCAAGGCTCAGACAAAAGCTGCAGACTGTAGACAGAGAGAGCCACAGACATGTTTTTATTCTTAACATTACTCCCTCAATCTGCCAAGGCATCAGAGATTTAAACCAGCAATATATCATGTCAGCCATATCCAGTCCAACGCTAACTCATTTAAGATTTCATAGACATGCTGATGATGATGATGACAGAGCTACACAGAGACAGTCACTCCAGTGTTTCCCTGTTGGATCTCTCTGGCTCGTCATTAATTTCACAGTAAGTCGAGGGTTCATTCTTGGTACTACTTTTTCTGTTCACAAGCTGTGATAACTCGCTCGAAATAACTGTCATAATTACCATTAAAGAGGCTGTGAATGTAAATAAAGCACAGAAACACGAATACAGGATCTGAATTTTGACCTTTAAATGTTTCTGCTTTAGTCTGGGGTGGAAAACACAAAGAGTTCAGTCTGGTGAAACACCGACTCGATGGCGACGCGCACTCAGATGGACTGGGCGTTTTTCCGGCTCCACTCTGGGTCTCGTGGTGGGATGTAGTCCTTGGAAAGCTGCTTTGGTTCTGCCAGCATCTCAATGCGAGCGCTCGCTGTGGCTCTCCTCGCTGCTCTTGAAACCTTATTATTGAGATTCAGACATTAAATTCCATTAATCACAGCCACTTGGAAAAAAAGAATAAGTGAGCAATAAAAATTTAAACTCTAGTGGTAAAAGCTGGTAATTATGCTGCATTTTTATGACCTTCATCAAAACATAAAAGGCATCCTGCAAAACAACAAGTACCAGAATTTCTCCACCGGCAGAACGACATTAAATATTCATTTGCCTGATTATAATTATTGGAAAGTGTCACAGTTCATTAAAACAAGGTTTTTATGATGTAAAACAACTGGTTCACACAGCTGGAAAATATTTGAATTGACAGTGTGATGTTGAATACACAACCCTAACAAACAGTTTTAATTTATGCTTTGCTGAAAGACTTTTCTAGTGTTCCTTAAAAGCCGCACATTACTGGTCTTTGAGCCTCCTGATGGTATTTATTTGGCATCATAAACTTGGGGTTAGACTAATGTTGGTGTTATACTTTCTGTAACTGAGAGTATGTGAGGGTTTGCTGGGGAAATTTCAGATGTTGCAAAAGTGTAAAATAAGGCCACCAGCAACACCGGCTCTTTTAAGTGGCCTCCAAGAGGATGAAGAAATGATAAAATAAGAACACACTTCTTGTTCTTGGAGTCTGCATGCTAGACTAAAAGTAGTACAGTGACATGGGGTGATGCTGTGTTAGTGAGAGCACTTACAGTCCGGATGGATTCCTCTGGACGTCCAAGTGTGCAGCAGATGTTGCTCTCCTTCAGTCTGGGCAGCGACAGCTGGACGAGTCTCTGCGAGATGCGAGCTTTTCTGGATGAGAGAGAGACGATGGAAGCGACGCTCTGCAGACGAACAGAAGGTATTAGTTTCTACTTTCACAACACATCCCTGCAGAGACAGAGGAAGGCTGATTTGTTTATAAATCTGCTCGACCACTTCACATTTAGGTGCAAAAAATTTAAGAGCCCGAGGTTTAAAACATTTAGTTTAGATCAAAGTGGCTGCTAACGATTACGTGGAAGAAAAGTTCCTAATTACCCGAACCTAAAAAGATTTTATCTTTTAAGCTACAAATATGTGGCTTTTATTTCTTTTTTTCCTATTACAGCTAATTCAATGCAGTGTAAACCCCATTAAACAAATTCTTTCACCACCAAAAAAACCCAACAATTTTCACGCTGAATCTATGCCAATAAAATATTGAAAGCATATTTCACAAAAGAGTGTGTGATTAAGCCTCCCTGTGATTACACATGAAGCCATGAGGCACCAAACTGAAAGAGCATGGATGTTTGCACGGATTTGTTTCTGAAATGATCTGCTCTGCTCCTCTTACCTCCCTGCTCCTCTGGAAGTCCGGATGTGCGAGTTTGGGTTTGGAAAGCTGCAGCAGTCGAGGTGTGATCACGGCACTTTTCACCCTGAGATCGGTGTGCCACACAGGACAGTTTTTTTCACACTGAGGCGTGTGAGGAGGCCTGTGGGACAAGCAGACGGCATCTTATACCGCGAGAAATAAACCCCTGATAATGCTGGGCTTCGTAATTCTCACATTCTTCTTACATTAGGCCTCGCACAATCGTGTTCCTCAAATAATCCTCAAAATCTTTATTATTCTTGTCAGTACCAGCAGCTCTCTGCCACGCAGCTTCAAAAAATATGCAAATACATGTTAAAGATAAGCTGATAAGTATTCTAAACACTATGGTATGGTGAAACTTTCATTCCCATTGAAGGCACGGATAAGGCCAAAAGCTAGAAAACAAACAGACAAAGCTAAATGAGTAAACCTTACTGGGAAAGTGACTAAGATGTGCGATATGTAAGTACAACAAAACTCTGTCACAGCCTAATAAAGGAAAAATGTCAAAAAAAAAAAAAAGAATATTTACAACATTTAAGCTTTTTTGGGTAGTTTATTGCCTGATCGTGTGTCCAGTTTGCTTGTTATTATTCAGTCTTTGTGTGCTTCCATTTATGTATAATTATTGCCTCAGTAGTTCAGCTTATCTTCACTACAGGATCAGATCCAGAAATGCTCCCAAATCATTTTGGCTTACTCTGCGCTTTTTTTCTTCAGGATCTCCTTTTTGGGTTTGATTTTTATCTGCTTTGTTTTGTCTCACTCATTTATCCGTCTGTATCTCTTAGAGCAAAAAGATGAGAGTCTGGCAATTGTTACTTCTTATACAGGACATTAAAACAGCAATCACTGTGATATTTGTAGCCTAAAAAATGCAGACATCAACTTGTACTGATTTGAAAAAAACAAACAAACAAAACCTGGGATGCATCTCACTCCATCCAACTACATGTTCAGCTGCTGCCGCTGGGCTCGGGATTTATAAAAAGACTTCCGCGGCAGTCTACGAGGGTCCCAGAGGTGCTGAGCCTTGGACAATAAACTCTATTGTCTCGTCTCCTCGCTCTCCCACAGTCTGTCACTGAAATAACAGATTTACGAACGCTGGCTTCCTCACACTGCACAGTGTTGGGCCTGATGATCTGCTCGGCCTTCTCAGATTTAATTTTATGATATGTTACATTCTGCTGGAATTAAACTTGAGACTTTGGTTTGCATGTGAGCTCCCGCAGGACGAATAAAGGCTGTGGAGTTTGACATGTGATGGGGGGCCGTGGAAATATCGTTTAAAACAGACAGCTCAAAGAGTTTGTCTGGCTGCTGCTTATATACTTCTCAACGCTGAAGCAGTAACGAGCAGTTTGACATAATGGCAAATGGGGGAAATATATAAATATACCATGTAAAATTTCAAATCCACCAAACCAAACTGAGTCACATAAGCTTTTACTTAATGAAAATGCATTTATTTATAAACTTCTTACTACACAATTGATTTATTGTTTAGTCTTAAAAAGCTCAGAGTTGCCAAAGTATGGCAACAAAATTTTATTTGCATCAATGCAGGACTAATCTACGGTAAGTAAGCTCCATGTTAAGACACCTCACATCTGGAAAACTGGTAGACGGTAGGTCCTTAATTGTGTGATATATGATAAATTGTATTACTGATCATGTTAATCTCTAAAACAGCAGCATGCCTCATATAACAGGCAAAGAAAGACTCCCTCCGCAAAAAGAAAATCTTTCAGCTTGTCTGCTGCCCCTTTGAGGCCCTCTCCTTGAGCATCTCTGGACAGCTTCCAGTGGCGACCAAGGAAAGATATTTTAACAGTGCTGTGCGCAGTTACGGCCATTTTTTGTTGAATGTCTTCTCTCAGACTCATCAGGATGTTATAGCCTAAACGATTTGGGGAGAAAATGTTTTTTTTTTAATGTTTCATCTCTGAGTCTTGGTATTTAACCTGTGGTGGGGTTATCACCTTCGAGGTGGTCCTGAGGGTCGTCATGTGCAAAGATGTCTACCTCACTGGAGGTTAAATACCTGGGAGTTGCAATCGGACATCTAGCTCTCTGTTAATCTCTGAAAAGAAAAATTATGGTGTTTGTTTCCCAGACTAGGATTAAGCCTAGTCCTAGACTAAAAACATTATCAGTGGTGATCTTTGTGGCATTTTTCCTTATAGTCTGGGACTTAAACCATGACTGGGAAAGTTGATCATGGTCGCTCATTGTGTTTGATACAGTGGTTGATGTTTGCCCTCTGTGCTAATTTGATGTTGCAGATGACGCAAAAACACCAGGGACCTTCAAACACCTTCAAACTGTTTGAAGCACTTGAGGGGAGATCAAGAATAGAATAGAGTAGAATAGAATAGCCCTTTATTGCCATTCTACATGTAAAATGAAATTATGGGTGCTCCACGCCAACTGTGCAGGCGTAAAATTTTTTTTATAAATAGTAAAAACATCAGGAAAAAAATAGCAAACAGAAGAGATACATACAGTCTAGAGGAATACATATAAACTGGAGGAATATATACAAAACAATGGAAAGACACACATTGGAGAGCAAAGTGCTTGGAGGTAGTGCAAAGAAAAGACTTGGTCTGAATGGAGTCTGTATGTGAGTGACATGAGTGATGAGAGTTACTCAGACCGTGGCTCAGATTGGTGAGGTGGGTGGGCAGTGGTGGTTTGTGGGGAGATAGTGTTTGTTAACAGTCTAAATGGCTCAGGGGAAGAAGGTGCTGTGAGTCTGGAGGTGTGGGACCTGACTGCCCTGAGGCACTGACCAAAGGGCAAAGGGTCAAACAGGTGAAACTGGTGGTGGGTGGGGTGCGAGGCGTCACCTGTGATGGACCTGGTATTCCTGAAACAGGACGATCTGGCGATAGCCTCCAAGGAGACAACCGTGAAGGAGAAGGTTTTGTGTTTTCATTTTTTATGACCAGAAACAAAAAACGTTTTCATCCCATCTTGTGTTGCATAAAAACATTTAAACCAAGCACGGGTTTGATGCTTCTTATGCCTAGACGTCAGAGGAAATAGTATCCCTTGAGTGTCACTGATTGACATGTAGGCTACATGTAACAGCTGTTTCAGACAGATCATTTGGAAATGGTTCACATTGAAATAGAGAAGTAGAAGTAGAAGATGCTTATTGTGCAGGGCTCTTCAGGTGCAAAGATAATATGTTTGCATGTAACATGAACACACATGGATTAAGTTTAGCATGCACTGAGGCTTTTACCCTGCATCCTGGGAGCTTCGAGTCCTGGTTCTGGGTGTCGACAAACGCAGGGTGTTTTCGTACTGGGACGTCTTGGAGGAAGGTCGCTGGGTCTTCCTGAAGAGGCTCGCCGTCGCCTCCTCCTCCTTCCTGCAGGAAAATGGAAGCCATTAGCGCGCCCATTATGTGCTGTGTTGTGTGTCTGGAACAAAACATTGTCTTGAGCCAGAAAGAAGAAAGTAGGAGGAGGGGATGATGATGAAGGGGCAATTCAGAACAATGGTTAAGTGTCAGTGTTCAGCTGATGACGGGGGAATGAGTGGAAAATGCAGCCGGAAAAACATTTAAATTTCATTACGCAGCCGAGACTGCGGAGTGACACTCGAGGTTAAATGCTCGCTTCGCATTGTTTTGCTCCTCGACGGTGTGTCACCGATGCAGAATCCTTCCTGATTCAAATAACGAGGAAAAAAATCTGATCAAACTTTTTATATCAATAAAAAAGACGAATGGCACATAGAAAGATTAACAAATTGGTTTTGGACTTTCCATGGCATTTGTTGACACTAGCAATAAAAAATACAAAATCTTACTCTTTTGTTGTTAATGCTGTTATCTTGAACTAACGATCCACTCCTCTAAACTAAAAAAGCCGAGTAAAAAGTACAAAATTGCCACCACAAACAATTTATCCACACAACAGTTCAAATTTGAGCAATTTTCTCTTAAAAAGCAGAAATCAGAAAATATTTAATTGTTAAAGGTAACTATTGTAAATTCCTGAGCTTAAAATAGTTATAGTTGTCACTATAATGTGAAGAACCAACTGCTATGACTTCATGTCCATAGTGTCTATGTATTATGTATTATGCTGGAGAGACGTTTGCTGAAGTTGAAATGAGGCTGGACTGTATTTTTGTGCAATACCAATTTATACCACAAGATGGTGTATGTAAGTAATGTAGTCTTTTTTCACAAAGGTATCTTAACTTAAATGGTGACCCAGAAAAGGCAAAAAACTGAGGGCGAGCAAAAAGAAGCTGCACATTTCAACACTGCCCCCTTGTGGTGAAACATTTAATTAAAGGGTAATTACAGAACGTACCTTTGATTAATAATTTTACATGTTAACATATTAATTTTCTAAGACATCTGAAAAGATTTTCAGTGATTACCGATCATCTTTTTAGGCTGTTTTTCTTTACAGATGCCAAAAAAGCTTCTCAAATATATGGATTTGTTGATTTTCTTTGCTTTATATTAACACTGACATCATCTGTCTGGATTTAGGGATCATCAAGTCAAATAGTGATTATAATAATAATAAATAATAATTATTAGCTGCACACCTAATTGGCCTGAAAAATTCAAAAGTTCCAGCTGCCAAGTAAAATAATTAACGTGACACTATTGATAAAGAAACCTTGACCACAGAGCCAAATAATCAGATTAGAAATGAACAAAGCGGACTAGACATCTTGCCTGCACTCTCATTAAATTAGGCATTGAGGCTAATTATCAGATACAATAGCCCTGTAAATACATTTAACTGATGTAGCTTACAGCAAATCAGAGGCAGGGAAAAAAGGATCAGTATGTATGCAGTGAGCATCGTGAATCAAGCTCCTCTATAGCTGATGGTCTGCACCAAACCAGCAGGTGATCAGTGTCATCTTCCGTTACAGTGAATTATTACTGCAGTTCAGTGAGCTGCATTTCCTGCGCGTGGGTTTCTGATTGAGTTACACTGAACATCGTTGCTCCTCTCATCCGACAGCTGATGCAGGAGAAACAACAAACAGAAGAGCTGTGGACCTGTAGCTAGCACTAATCGAGCCTGACAGCTCTCGAGGGTGATCACCTGGCATCAGTCCCGAACATCACTTTACTCTGTGCTAAAGAGCTCTGCGAAGATTTCCACACAAATATGTTGATGCATCACAACATAAAAAGCTTGTGTACACTGCTCTGATCACAAACAGCCCTCCCTCTCATGTCTTTTTGATAGAGTCATCAATAATGTTGGAGGAACAGCCGGGCTACAGTTACCTCCGGTCGTCCTCCCTTGCTGAGAAATCTCTTTTGTGCCTGGATAGGTATTGGATTCTTGCACTTGGAGCGGCTCCGAGCGCTGAAGCGGAGATGGGCCATACAGGCTCCTGGTTGCCCCAGCTCAGCTTCTCACTGATCAATGGAAAGGTTTCCAAAAAGGAGCTGTGATGATAAGCATCTTTGTGCAGAGGCAGAATAAATATTTTCCCAAAGAAAAAAAAAAAGATCCATTCAATCAACAAACCATAAATTCTTCTCATTTCTCTATTGTTTTTCTCTTTTAAACACACATTCGGTGGGTGCCAGACATCTGTCTTTAATTATGCACTTTGGAGAAATTGCACTCAAAAGAAGGAAACACTGACCACATAGGCTCCTGAATTCTTGGGAGTCAGTTTTAAGTCAATTTTCAAATGATGTAACAGCTGGAAGAGAACTAAGTATGCTCAAAATGTTTAGGGCTTTAAAAACAGACGTGTGATGAATAGCGGCCATTGTGGCGTTACAAAAAGTCTGTGTGCAGAAAGAATTCGGTTTTAATCAAGGGGAAGATGCTCGTGTGAGTCAGCTACTCACCAAGGAGTCGTGGCCCAGACTGTTTTTGAGGTTTTGTGTTGAGCCAACTCCAAGATTCTGTCAAACGACACAGCATTCACAAAACAGCAAAAACTAGCAATAAATACGAGTGTATTTCAGGGACTGTGGGCCCAAAGCGGGGCTGTGCAATCGCTCAGCGAGTTTCCCTTCTCTGTTTAGGGTTTTCCATATTTTGGCTCCCAAACAGTCTCGCTCATTTTTTTTAAATCTCTGTTTCAACTTTAAATCTTTACCACCAATCAAAAAGCAAAGACGCGAATGCCAGAGTTTGACCGTGAGTCATTCATTTTCATGACAGTGGTTTCCTATTTTGCACCACCACCTCCATTTAACCCCTTTAATATCTGCAATGTTCCAAAAATACTCCATACTAGAGGTTACTGATTATATAAAACATGGATTTTTACAACATAGCTTTGAATTTTCAGGTGTTGGTTTTAAGCTTGCATCACTATTAGCATCAAAACCTTAATCTAAAACTGTAGGCAAATTATTTCCCCCATTTATTCATTATGTTTGTTTCAGCTGGTTACACTTTTAGCTCCTTTAAATGGTTTAATCCTGACTTTTAGCTTAATGTTTCTATTCTTTCTTAATGACTTTATGTTAATTAGATGGTTTTATCATGATTTTATCTAACCTGTTAAGAGTTTTGGTGTTTTAACCGTTTATTGCTGACATTTAAGTTTCAAATTTCTTTGCCAGACTTGAAGCTAAATGTTTCTTCCAGACTTTTTATTACTTTTAACTTCATTCCTGCCTTAAGCTTTTTTATTCTCAACACTGAGTTTTTTTAAAACTGTTAGCTACTATTGAGGTTTTGTACTCACATGAGCACTCGCCATGTTTAGAATAAGGCCCCAACTACACAGGCCTTGACTGGTCCACGAGTAACATTTTAGCAGTCGCCCACAGTTTGTATGGAACACACCAACTTTACCTGCAACTACTCTCAGAGTGTTAGTGATACACCACAGAAACTGGAAACAGAGACCTTTCTACTTCATAAAAAACTAACTTTTATTTTGCAGTAAAGTTGTGCCACTGCTCAGTTTGCAGACAAGTTGGTATCTTCTATGAAAATTATAGGCAACTGCAGCAATCTGCAAGCAACCAATGCAATTACAAAGAGATTTTTTTTTTTGGAAAAGTATCGTCTCTGCGACCGATTTCCCTTCGCCAACCTATCGGGGGATATTTTTTCCCCCTCACAACCTACATTTTGTTACACCCGATATGGTGGAAAACTCTTGAGCAAGAAAATGCTGTTTCAGCTGTTTATTCCTGAGTTTATAGTTAAATGGCCTGTATTTGTATAGCGCTTTTACTAGTCCCCCCCTAGGGACCCCAAAGCGCTTTACACACCCAGTCATCCACCCATTCACACACTGGTGGAGGCAAGCTACAGTTGTAGCCACAGCTGCCCTGGGGCAGACTGTTGGTAGGAATGTTGCAACGCACAATATCTCCTTAAAGTGGTCAATATTTTACACAAACACACCAAATCTATTGAGAATGATTAACTTTCTGAGAAAGGCATAAAGATCAAAACCATTTCACCTCTGTGATGGACCAAATGTGGACTGAACAGCTGCAAGAATAAAAAACAAAAGCAAAAAATGAGTTAAGGCTACCCCCCAATATTTGATGACTATTTTGCATGTATGAAGTGATAAATTTACCTTGTTTTCCAGACACCATCTCCCCTTGCGGCTGCTGTGAGCTGGATGCGTCAGCTTGATGTCACATTACTCTCTCCATAGCCACAGCAGGAGTCCTTAGCAACCAGCTCCACACCTGAGGACGCCCTGAAACTGGAGTCTGTGTGGTTAACTCAACCATCCGGCCCACTCAAGACTTCAGAAGCTGAACGTTATAAGGAAAGTGGACACTTCTAGGTCAGTTGGGAGGCCTACTGTTGCTGTGGCATTCTGGAGAGCTCGATTCAAAATATAAATGTGCTCCAATGGTGTGAAGTGACTAAATGTCAAGCGCTATGTTTGTGATGAGGCTTTGTGCTCACATGAGCAACGACACAGAGCTGTGCTGTTGTAAACAAAACTATGTGAAAGGTCAGTGGTTCAAAACACTAAAGATTTAATGCAAAAGAATAATTCAGTGGAAACTGTTTATTTAAATGTGAAATCATCATCAAACTGTTTACACATTACTGTAAAATGCATGTTTTGGTTTTGGAAAAATAGGAGTCACAAAAAACAAAAAGTAATGCGCTCTTTTAAATCACCAAAGTGTTACATATGAAGGAGTTTCGCACTTCAGTGATGTGCTTTGTTTTTATCTGACAGTTCAGAGTTTTAAACAAACATTGACAAAAAAAAAGTTTTATTCAGTTCTTAAGATAAAAAACCAAACTCCCTTTTAAAGCATTAAGACGACACACAATGAATAAGGTAACAATGAACGTGTTACATACGTGTGTTTTTAAAGCTGTAACACTCCTGAGCGATAATAAACTCAAAATAAAGCAGCAGTATTGCAGCAAAGAGCCATGTCTTTTTGTTTTTTTCCGTTATGCTTAAATGTTTCAAGATTTTGATATTAACGGCAGAACAGAGTCAAAGTTTGCACTTTAGCGGCCCCACATGGCAAAAAGGTGTCACTTTCTACCATTTTAACAGTTAAACCTTTCATGAATTTTTTGTTGTTGTAATTTTGCCTTTTCCCATACACCACCACAGAGGATTTTAAATCGAACAGTCCAGATGTGTTTGAAGAACAGACTTTTATCTTAAATTTAAGGGCTTCAACAAAAAATGTCAACTGTTTAGGAATTACAGCCTTTTAATACACAGTCCAGTCTCAAAAGTAATTGGACAGTTGATGAACAATTCCCTGCTTGTTTTTCAATAGAAAGCAGATAAAAGATTTGAAGTTGCTTCCAAGTGTTAAACTTGCATCTGATAGCCGTTCACTGGATTTCTCAATATGAGGTCCAAAGAAGTGTCGATTAAAGCGGAGAAGGTCTTCATTGATCTGAAAACCAAACTAAGCCTATCAGAGAGACAGCAAACACTTGAGGAGAGGCCAAATCAATAATGCGGTATCGGCCAGCTCAGCAAAACCTAAAGGCCTGGAAGACCGGGGAGGAAAAATCAGTGAGAATGATCCCAGAGTTCTTTCCATGGTTACGAAACAGCATTACTATCTAACCAGTCAAGACTGCTCTCAGGGAGGTGGGCAAATCACTGTTAGTGTACAATCCAGGAAAGCCCGATCATACTTTGTCAAAAATCATATAAATATATATACGTTTGAACAGATTAAACCAAGACTAACTAACAGAATAATGGGTAGAGAAATGTATGGAGGAGGAGGGGTGTGTATAAAAATGGCTGTAATTCCTCAACAGTTAATGCAGCACTTCTATTAAAACCCACGAATTAATACTGAAAGTCTGGACTTGATGTTCACTGTGGTGGTGTACAGTCCAAAAGCACAAAATTTTATGTTTTAATTTGAGATCTCAGTCAGTAAAAGTTAGTTTGGGCCACTTGTCTCAGCTGATATGACGAATTTAAGCAGCTTGAGATTTGTATGCAAGTATGAAATACGCTGACACATTTAAATCATTAAGATCGATTTGAAAACTACTGCAACTGCAGCTCCAAACAACATTAGAAGGAATTAAAGATTTAAAACACAGTAACAGTCTTGTAAATGTTAACATTTGTGGCTCCACACATCACCTGCTGGGACAAAAATAGAGATAATGGTTTTGTGTTCTCCCAGTTTGACACAAATCAATAAAAAAAATTTAACAGGCCAACAAACAGTGAGGGGTTTTTTCTCCTCACAAATGTGAAATACCAACAGAAATAAATACCAGAGGTTTAGCCTACAAACGTAGTGAAAACAGTAAAGTTAAAAAAGTGCAAAGAGCTCACTGAATGTGATTAAGTGACAGGAGTTAACAGTGCGTTTCATAAACCGTCACAAACCAACTGGGAGATCAGGGCCTGAGCGTCCTGCACGCCAGAGCTCAGCTCCGTCTCGCCCTCCTTCACGTGGGTAGCAATGAGGAACAAGCGCCGGTCGCCGAGCTCGGACAGAGAAAGAGCGTCGTGGAGGTCAGTGATGCCGCAGGAACCTGGAAGGTCCTGGAGAAAGAAAAAAACATTGAGCATTAAGTAAGATAAGGATGATATACTCCTATATTATATAAAAAAAATATAAAGATGAACTTATTTGAAGGGCGTAATGTCTGAGAAATCTTTGCTGACATTTTATCCACCACCAAATTACTGCAGAATAAAATTTGCAGGGTTTGCTGCTTCAGTGATTTTAACCCAAAATATGAAAATGAGAAAAGGATGGAAGCCATCTTTCAGATTTTATTTTGTGACATCTAAATCGACATACGTGCTTTTCAGATGGACAGAAAATGCAAACAGATACAAGTCAAAAGGAAATGCAAGTGATAGACTGCCACATCATTCAGTTTTAAAACACCTGTCTGTGAAGGTTCTCAGTCATCCAGGTCATCGTAGTGAAAGGAGCTTGCAAAGAAAAGCGTCTGGACTTCTTTAAGTTGCTTGAAGACGTTTCACCTCTCATCCGAGAAGCTTCTTCAGAGAAGGATCAGAGAAGAAGCTTCTCGGATGAGAGGTGAAACGTCTTCAAGCAACTTAAAGAAGCCCAGACGATTTTCTTTGCAAGCGTCTGGGCAAGTTGCTCTCATGGCTAATCGGTGCATGGAGTCTGTTGACATCACATTTTTAGATCAACTTAGCTCGCTTTGAACCCTGGCCAAGGTGTTCTATCCTTTAGATCGCTACCCACAGCTCGTGCAGAGGGAAGGAGCACACATCTACCAGTAACATCACTGGTGCATGTTAAAATGTTTATGTGGCACAGACATGCCTTTTATTAAAAAGCTGAACATGTCGTACAGAGGAGCTTAATGAGAGTGATCACAAGACTGTGATGAGGTGTGTTCATCGAAGCCTAATGCAGCCTTCTCCAAACTTCAGGCAGCTGCAGCTTATCTTGATATCTGAAAATCTCTATTTTGTCGTTTCCTGCTGTTGACATGTTACAAGATAAATAAATAAATGCAATTCTTCACATTAAAAGCCAGTTCTATTTTGTGTTTACTTTAGTTGCATCAGTTGCAAGTCTGAAACAAATCAATCGAACTTGTTTCTTTCACGCCCACCTGTTTGTTGGCCAGCACCATTAAAGGCAGGCTTGGACGAGAGGCCAGCAGCTCGTGTAGGTGTTTCTTCGCCACTGGAAAGAGCTGCGGGTTGGACGAGTCAACTACAAATACCAGCAGCAGTGCTTTAGGGATATATTTCTGCCAATATGGCCGCAGATCCTCTTTACCTCCAACTGTCAAAAGAGAGAGACAACACACACTGTTCAAATACAACTCCCGTGTTTATTTCTGTTATATTTTATGCATTATACAGCAACACATATGTGATTTTCAACTGGATCATATGAGACAGAGCATACTAAAGATGGGCTCAGGCTTACTTTCCAGAAACTCGATATAGCAGTCATCTTTGTTGATGGAGACGGCGTTGAAGCCCTGTGTCGGCTGTATGTCCTGCTCCAGGCGGCCGGTGGACAAAGACTGCAGCAGGCTGGTCTTTCCGGATCCATCGAGACCCAGAACGAGAACCTGTGTTCCCTTTGACTCCACAGGCTGGGACTGGAACACAGACCACACTGGATCAGAGCCTGATATTCACACCAATATTAAAAAGGATTATTTCCTCTATGATGTCACTGGTTCAGGAAATGTAAATGTAAAAATTGAGTTTTAATTAAAAAAATTATTTAAGTCAAAAAAAGATGTTTAATTATTATCTTAAGAAGAAAATCAGATGTTAGCTGACAGAACTGATATTGCAGGTTAGTAAATAAAAATAAATCTCAGGCTAGAAGTACTGTAGACAGTTTCTCAATCTCAAAGAAACGCCAAAATGTATATAATTCTTTAGAAAAATATTATTTAGGAACAGCTAATATTGATAATATATACCAAACAACTGTCTTAATGTTTCAGATTTTGTTTAGTATTTAAAAATACTGTGAATAGGTCTAATATACGACATAGTGTAGAACTGTGCAGAAATAAGCAGTTTTTCCTGTTTCTCATGTTAAATCTTGGAAGGAAGGTCCTTTTTACTCTTTATTCATAATCATGCCAAATAGTGTCTCTTAACTTGTTCCAGGCCGAGTTATCATAGTTTTGTATTTTCTTGATTAGTTTTTATATTTGTTTCACTTTGACTTTTGTTTTTATTTCAGTTTAGTTTCAGTTAATTTCCAGAGTGTGTTTGTTCATTTTAGTTTATTTTTATTGTCTGAAAAATGATTAGTTTTAGTTTAGTTTTTGTAAGTTTCAGGGCCAGAGTTTTAGTTTTTTAAAGTATTATTGTATTTGGGGTACATGCCAGATGCAGGATTTAGGAAAGTGACTAGATGTTACAATATAAACACAGAACTTTTTGAAAGCAGTTGACTCCAGTCTTAACCAAAATAACAAAACTTAGCACATTTAATTGGTCTTTTTTTAAAAAAAAAAAAACAAACGTAGTTTTTCAAAATTTTTTCTTATTATTTTTATATTCGTTAAATATAATTAGACAGATTTTTTTTTTAGTTAACTATAATAAACTTCCGTCCAGTAGGTCGAGCTCAGACATTATTTTAGTTTAGTTAGTAAAATGTAATATGCACTAATAATAATAATAACCTAAAAGAAAAAAAAAATCTCTTTTTTGGTTTACACATCCCATATTTTATTTTAGATATTTCAAAATGTCCATTTACTCAGTGAAAAAAATATTTTACTTTTGTATTTATTTAATTATTTTATTTAATAACTTGGGATGTAAATAAAAAATAAATAAATGAATATATAAAATGTGCGGATCAATCCAGCCGCTGCCTCACTAAACTGTCCCGAAAACCGCCTTTGAGTTGAATGGAACAGCCTACATTTCCCAGAACACCACGCGGGAACCCCAAAGAACGTGCCTATGAATTTGCCGCTGAAATATGTACAACTTTACGCAACATGTAAAATAAGTTACTTTACCGAAACGCTTCTTCGTCTCGTCTTAAGTGTAAAACCCGGGGGGGCAGCTGGGGTGAAGGCACAGATGTAGTGTTTTAGGAGCAGTAGTCTGAACATTTCCACACAGGTGTGTCCGGTGAACGTTACCTGTGATGTGTTCCGAACTTCAGCAGCTGCTACAGGGTCAACCACGGCCGTTCTGGTCTCAGCACACTGTGTCTGCTGCTGCTGAGCTTTAATCACCGGAGTCTCTTCCTCTCTTATTTCATCCTTCTCTCCTTCCCTCTGCTCTCTGTCACGTTCACCGACCTCTCCCAGGCGTGTTTCGGGTTTCTCCTCCCCGGAGGAGGACGCATAGTTCCAGATAAGATAAGCGACTCCTCCCGCCACAGCAACGGAGGCGCCGACGATACCAGCTCTGCTCAAACTCAACATGGTGCTCAACTGCCGGCTTTGCTGCTCTGTCTGGGCGCCGTTTACCCGTTTGCCTGCGACATGATTGGAGTTCTGGTGAAAATGTAAGTCCGTAAGCGGTTCCCCGCCCCTCTCCTCTGCTCAACAAGTGGATTAACAGACCGGAAGCTCCGGAGGAACTTCTCAAAACGATATTTCCGGATAAAGTGCGCGGAGGTGTTGATGCAGTTCTGAGACCGGCCGCCAGATGGCGGAAAATAATCTTGAAATGTTTTAATGCAACCATTTCTTTAACGCTGTTATTCGCACTCTGACCGCTAGGGTGTCCAACTACTGTATATTACACTTGCATTTAAAATATATAAATTACTAGTAGCCAATATAAAGTTTACATTTTAAGAACAATTACTGCAGTAAAAAAAGAAGCGGTAACTGTTCTAATTATCATGCTTAGTCAAAGTATAATTTTTATTTAATTTGCGATATTTGATGGTTTTATATATTTTTATTTTTACCCCATATTTTTTCATTGTTTTGTCATTATTCCATGTTATTTTATTGATCACTTATTTGAGCTAAGTGCTAATATTAGTTTAACTATAATTTTACCCAATGTCACACCTTCTTTATTTTTAATGTTGGAAAAAGTAAATATTTATTTTCAAGAATAAAAAAAATTGTGAAAATGTTGAAGAAGGGATAGCAAGCTGGGGATCAAATTGGCTACAAAAGGGTTGAATCCAGACCGCTAGGTGGCTTTAACCCAAGTGTCATTAATAAAATGAACTACTATTCCTGCAGTGGAGATACCTGAACTCATACACAAGAAAAAAAACCCTGAAATTACATGTTTAACATGAATAACAGCGCATACATAAAATGCTTCCCTTCTTATTTAACATCTAAGCATTTTGTGATTTAAAGACTGGGATCCATACATTTTAATTAAATATATATGAAAAAAAAAAACCTCTTAGTCCCCCCCCCCTTCTTTTGCAAATGGATAGGGCATTAGATGTGTTCTCAGAATTTATTTTATATTGTTTTTGTTATACAAATCAAAGGAGAAAACTCCAGAGGTAATTCAGACTTTATATTAAATCAAACTCAAAAAGGTTACAATGTGGTTCTTAAAAATGTAAATAAATCTCACTTAGTAACACAAAGACAGGCTAAATCAAATAAATAAGATGAAATTTATTTCATTTTACAATTCTTATAGCCTAATTTTAACTATGATAAAAGTTTCAACAGTTTAACATGAAATTAACGCAAAACACAGTTAACTGGTTTCTAATTTTAGATTCGAAAATGTATAGAAAAATTATTTTAGATATATTGAAGCCTTTCAAATTATGATTTTTTTTTTAGCTATAACAAAAACATTTATTTATAGTTTCTTAACTTATTCCAGTTGAACAGTGACAAACATAGTAGATTAAATTATTTTAATGATCTTCTCTCCTCCTCCTTCACATCCTGTAGGGCTCCGCCTGGTTGGTCCTCCTCACTGGCACCCCGTCCTCCAGCTCAGGAGCACTCAGGAGCCAGGGTGGCAGGTTGCTGTCCTGTTGTTTCACCCCGAGGTTCTTCCAGGTCCGGGCCCGGAGAGAAGGTGGTCTTTTTTTCTGTGGGACCCGCTGGACCTGCTCAGTCCCCAAACTGGACGAGTCCACTGGCTCACCCTGCCGGTGCCTCCTGGACTTGGGCGCCTTCTGAACATTGCTGTAGCTCTTCTGCTTGATGGAGGACAGAAGCCTCGCTCTTTTGCTGCAGGACTCCTTCTCATCTTCTTCATCCTCTTCTTCTTCCTCCTCCTCCTCTTCATCTCTTTCCTTCTTGTCTTTGAGTAGCTGTGAGGTGAAAGTTTTGTTCTGCCAGGTGATGAACTCTGACATGCAGTCACTCAGGCGTGAGGTGAAGTCTCTGTGGGTCATGGTGATCTGGGAACCCACATCCTTGGTGGTCTCCTTCAGCTTCTCGTACAGGCTCTGGAGGTTGGCTATCTCTTCCAGGGTGTCTTCACTGATGAGCTCACGCACCGCGGTTGTCCTGCTCAGAAACTCAGGGCACACATGGTCCTTCTTTGGCTTCTGCTGCTTCTGGAAGGTCAGAAAATGCGGCATGGCCGTGTAGTGTATGGCTTTGGATGCCACAAGCTTCTTGTAGATATAAACTACATCAAGATGGCCGGATTCTACAGATTCCTTGAGAAAGGCTTGCACGTGGGTCCAGTCCTTCAGAGCGAGCCGGATCATCACAGGTGGTTCGGCGAGCTGCGTGTGGTAGAAACCAAACATCAGGTACAAGCCCCCCACTCGGATCTGGTAGCTGTATGGAGGTAGGAAGTACTTTACAGCTGTGGCCAGAGTCACCCTGCAGAACCGCTTCAGTTCACCCGCATTGATGGTGCCAATGAAGAGATCAGAGAAGCCCATCTCCCTCCAGAGGGCTGAAAAATCCTCATACCTGACCGAGTCTATCTGCTGGAAGCGCCCCAGTAGCTCCTCCACATCTTCAGTCAGAGGGCCATAGAAGAAGTCTGAGTAAACACACGGCAAACGAGGCATCGTTTCATCCAAAACCCACAGAGATTCACTCAGGCTGGCTGCTCCACAAGTGAGCTGTGGTCAAAGCAGGTGTAGTGCGTTGATGGCAAATTACCAAGCAAGAGCGCCCAGTAGTGGCAGGATGTACCCAGTAAAAACCATTTAAAGCAGGTGCATCAAACATACTGGGCCCTAACTTAGCCCAGGGGATGACTTTGCACAATGAGAGGCTGGGTTTTTCTTAATAACAGCTTATTTTGACAAACTTAACATTTCCTTTACTATGACATTTTGTAAGAGTAAAGCAGTGCTATGGCAACCTCATGCCATACAGGTAGGTAGGCAGGAATAGGACCAGCATGGAATTGTACTGGCAAAAAGATAGGAGGGTGAGCTGGACATGGCAGAACTGAAAATAAGACTGGGAGTAACCAGGGTGGACAAGATTAGACAGAAGCTTATCAGAGGGACAGCTCAGATTTAGTGGTTTTGGACCAACGTTAGAGAGGCGAGGCAGAGTCCAGGCAAGAGCATCAGGAAGTGAACCAGCTGGTTGGTAAATTGACATTTGTTGCTGTTAATCACTTAGAAATGATGCACCAGTGACCTTTTGATTATGTGCTACTACAGCAAGTGAAATCCAGGTTTATTCTGTTGTTTTTTTTTTCAAAAATGCTGGATTAAAATATTACAAGCACACCACGGTAATCTGATTTTCAGTATAATAGAAGTTCCTTCTATAATAAGCAAAAAAGGGATTTTTGGAGATTTTAAATAAATGGCTACACATGTAACTTTTCTCTGTGACCACATGATGGCTTCATATCTCACAGAGCAACAGAGAGATTATTAAGTATGAGAAAATTTAAGGGGCAGTTTAACTTCCTTTACTTAAATTATAAAAATGACCTGCGTTAACCATTAAAAAAAAAAAATTACATTAACAGGACATTTTAAAGCATTGCATAATTTAATTTCAGCTACATTTAGTCTTAAATGTCAAAGTTATGATCTTTTCTTCATCATGATCTGGATCATTTGGCTCCATCTCACATTGATAGCTGTGGTCTTCCTCTTTTCCAGCACATCCACTATTCTCCATACACGTTCAGTGTATGCTCTAATGACCCCAGGAGGTATGTTGTCATGGAAAATTTGCCCCTGAAAAAAAGCTTCTAAGGTGAAATTTTTTTTTTTCTAATGTGTGAGAGTAAGAACTTTGGAGTGATGGATAAAATTTAAACAGCAACCCATCTTTAAGAAGACCAGCAGAGAACTTTCAGTAAACATCAACAAATACATCCAGTCTCTTCTATAAACATCTCCATTCATGCACAAAGCCTCAAAATGAGCCATACTAGGAAAAAAACTCACAGCAGGAGCATCGCTGTTCAGTTTTATTTAGACTTAACAAAATGGAAACCTGTTTGGCCAAAATAGTGTCTTTCTGAACACATGCATGTGACAGAATCAAAATCCTTTTGCTTGAATTCAGACAAATTCAAAAATAAATATGTTACTTTACTGTAGCTAACTGAAAATACATTGAAATATTAAAGAAAGGTGAAACTGTCAGGTGGAGCTGGACACGCTAATACTGAAACTCAACAGGTTTAAGCACCATTACCCTAAATTCTGAACTTTGAGTTATTCTGCAAAAGCAGTTTTATAACCCCCCTAATTCTAATGAAGGATACTCGCTGTTTTAAGAGTACTTAACAATGCTTAAAATGCAATAAAGACATGACTGAGCTCCTTAATGCATACATGATTTAAACACTTAATTCATTTTTGATTGATCAGAATTTGTTTTTGCCTAAAAATAAAGAAAAATGCTAAATACAGTGCAACTGTTAAGGTGTAGAAATATGCAGCCAAGAAGACAATTCAATGGACATTTAATGAGAATATGGATATCTGTGGTGTTATTGATTCAGTGAAAACAAACGCTGGTTTTGCAGAGCAACAAAAAGTCAATTTCAGTGGAACTGTCCTTTCAATCGTCAACTCTTTTTTTCTCCTTTACTTTGTAAAAAAAAAAGTCAGATTCATGGTGTCGATGAGCAGCGGGGAGGATTTTGGTTTGATCAAATGACCTGAACAGAAAAAATAAAAGAAAAAAAAAATAAAACTGAATTTTAAAAAAACGAAGGAAAAAAAAAAGCTTCTAAATTCTCTGCTGCTCAGATGCCAACAGCCTTCTTCCTCACATTGCTTCCCACTGTCTACCAGCCTCCTTTGCCTCCTTTCTTCTTCTTTTGCGGTGCTTTCTTGCGAGTGGCGCCGGAGGACGACGGTTTCTGCTGTCGTGGGGGAACTACGCCGCTGGCAGGGGCTGTAGAAGAGCCGGATGCAGACCCTGGTCTCGGTGAGGTAGGGGGGCTGCTGGCAGTCTTACTGGCATCCCTGAAGAGAGAAAAGAGCCACAGTGCAGTTAGAAGGGCCGGAAAATTACAGCGCTGAGTTTGTTTATTCAGGATCTGAGTTTCCTTCTGTGACGTGGATGAGTGAAATAAACGTTTGATTAGCAACAAAGCTTTTGTTGGACAGTGTCTCCCACCACCTCCACTTTTCATGCATTTATAAATTCAGGTAGCAGCATGATGTTTGATAAGTTTATCATCCATGTTTGAATAACTGACTTTCAACAGTGACCTGCTCAGCCTGCCATTAGGGTCCAAGTCCAGCTGGTTAACGGCGACTGAACTTTCAAAATAAGAGCAATAAGTTGCATCTGCATCTTCAGACATCCTTGGGTGGTGCAACAACAGCACAAACTTTGTTAGGATTATTAATAAATAATTTTAGCTTCTGTAAAAGAGAAACTGGAGGGCATCAAAGAGTAACCTGCTCAGTTGCTAATAGGGAAACTCAAGCTCAAGGGCTGTAAGTAGCTGGTTAATAGCAATTGAAATTTCAAAGTAAAAGTGCAGAAAAATCTGTTGTAGATGGAGTCGTTCTCTCCCCTGTTCTGTTTTGGAGCTGCGGTAGTTCAGATGAATGGTGGCAGATGGATTTCTCCTTTAGGAGAGACTGAGAATAATTTTGTTCTCAACAACAGATGAGCCCTTCCTCCCGCAAAGCAGCTGCGGCTCTGATCTGATTTCAGAGTTCATTGGCATGAAAACAAAAGAACAATCTCAGTTGCTTTTCCTCCATTAGTGCCGTTAATAACTGGGTTTACAATTACAGGAAATTGCACCCAGGCGCCTCGGCTGGTTGTGCGTGTGACTGCGGAGTTTACTCACAGCTCTGCTGAAGCTCCTGCCGTCGCTCCCTGTGTGCCTTTTCCTATTTGATCCTTCTTCTTGCCCTTCTTCTTCCCTCTGTAGTAGGAGCGCTCCTTCATAGGAAGCCACCTCTCGGGGTCAGGGGTCACTTTGGGGTCATAGTTCTTGGGCAATTTTCCTAAAAGGAAGATGGTATGGTGTGAGTACTTTATGAGCAATAACTAGACAAAATATCTTCAACAGAGAAAACAAAAAAAATCTGAATTATTCTCTTTTCCTAACAGTGGTTTTAATGTTTTGGCCGCTCAGTGTGCATTTGAATTTCCTACATCATTAATCAAACTCTTTTTCTCTAAGGAGAACAAAAAAGATACAATTAGATGTTTTTGCTCATTTAGAAGAAATAATTTCATGGCCTTTTGTATGTGTAAATAAAAACTTCCAGAACAGATTCACTCTAAATCTTAGCAAGTGATTGAAAGACATACCTTTCTTTTTCTTCTTCTTCTTTTTGATTTCACCATGGCTTTTAAAGAAAATAAAGGAGAAAAAAAACAAAGAAACTTGTCAATGTGTCCCTCGTTCTTTTGAATGTTTT